TACCTGTGTACATACGAACTCAGTTTGCGCAGAAAGCTTGGAGTGGTCCTCTTGATCCTTCAGGGAGAGAGGAGGTTTGGTGGATGCAGGTGATAACACCCAGCCCACTCTCAACATGCCCATGAAAGCTCTGGCATCCCTTTTCCTGCCTCCAAGCTGCCAGGTTGGCTCTGGCCTGTGTGAGCAGAGCTGCAGCCTCCAGCTCCGGAGCCAGCGGGCTCCGATCCCACTGGTAGGAAAGGCAGGGAAGTAAGTTGTGGTTTGAGGCCTGTCATGTTGTAGCAGCAGCTCCGATCTGTGCCTGGTTCTCTCTGGCAGAGGCCACCAACGGGACCGTGCCGCAGGGTCAGCGCCCACCCCCGCGCATCAAGAACTTCCAGATCAACAACCAGATTGTGAAGCTCAAGTACTGCTACACGTGTAAGATCTTCCGGCCGCCCCGCGCCTCGCACTGCAGCATCTGCGACAACTGCGTGGGTGAGTGGTGCTCAGGCCTGGCCTGGCCCTGCTCCTTGCAGAGGGCCTTGGGACAGGGACAGACCTGCGCCCAGGCTCGTGCTGGGCAGCTCTGCGCTGGTGGAATGTCCAGGCTGCCTCGTCTTGTGTTTGAGGAGCTTGAGGTTTGCTCAGAGCCTGGAGCCAGGTGCTTTCTCTTTGCAAGGACTTCGGCAATAACTGAGTCCAGCTGCTCTGTGTACATGTGCAGCCCATTTTTGAGTCCCACTGGACTCTGGCCTTGTGGGACCGAAGGGTTCCAGTGCAGAGTTGTGTCTCAGGTGACAGCAGCTCCTTCATCAGCACAGAGATCGTGTCATTCCCTGGGGTGCCCTGGTTGTGGTCTTCCTTCTGTGTATGTAACTGGCTCATGTTCAGCATCACTGCTCCAGGCAGAAATCCTGTCCTTTTGGACCCCTTTCCTCCTCTTCAGATTCCCAGCCTTTGAGTGTTTATGCAGTTTCTTGAACCTTCTCCTGATTATTCCAGGGTAAGAACATGGGGACTCCCAGGCCTTCATCTAACCCATGTGCTGTGGCTGTTGTACCCCAGGGGGAGAAGACACATAAGGGGTCAAGCTCAAATTCTATCTTAATGTGCAAAATTACTTACTACAAAATAATTTTGGACTTTCTGACCTCCTGAAAGGAGGCCAGGATATGGGGTCCTGACTGAGCAGAGGTTTGAACATGGCAGTTTATGTCAGCCTGGGGGATTTTTGAAGTGGGAGCACAGGGGCAAGGATCTAGAGGTGGGCAGGGCCGTGCCAGGGCAGTGCTAATTTTCATCTTGGCTTCTCCAGAGCGCTTTGACCATCACTGTCCCTGGGTGGGCAACTGTGTGGGAAAGAGGAACTACCGCTACTTCTACCTCTTCATCCTCTCGCTCTCCCTCCTCACCATCTACATCTTCACCTTCAACATCGTCTACGTAGCACTGAGTGAGTCTGTCTGGAAAGCTGGAGAGCTGGGAGGGACGGAGGGAGGGAGGGAGGGAGGGAGGAAGGGAGTGGGGCTACAGATGGTGGTGTGAAACCAGAGTTAGGGAGTGGGAAAGGGAGCTGGACTCAGTGGGATGTTCCAGGTGAAAAAATTCTCGCTTTTTGTATTGCAGAATCTCTGAAGATTGGGTTTCTGAACACATTGAAGGAAACCCCAGGGACATATCCTTCCATGGTCACAAGGGCTTGACTTCTCCACAAATGGGGGTTAGTGGGAGCTGCATTGTGGAGTGGCTGCTTAGGCCACTCTGAGTCTTTCCAAGCATTTTCCCCTGGATGACAATGTGGGGAGCAGTTCCTTGGCTTTTGGGAAGAGAATAAAACAGAAAACAGTGGCTAGGAGAGGAAGATAAGTTGGTGTTTGTGGGGGCAGTAACAGGTGGGCTGGGCCTGCTCTTGGGCCGTTCCCAGTCCTTAACTGTTCTCACTGTACTGGAGGTGCTCATCTGTTTCTTCACGCTGTGGTCGGTGGTGGGGTTAACTGGGTTCCACACCTTCCTGGTGGCACTGAATCAGACAACCAATGAAGACGTAAGTAGAGCCCTCCTCTGAGCTGTCGCCGTTTCTCAGTGTGTCAAGGCTGTGCATAACACAGGGATCTGGGGGCTGGTGCAGGGTGGCCTTGGAGTAAACCTGAGCTTGTGCCCAACTATTTCAGATTAAGGGGTCCTGGACTGGGAAGAACCGTGTGCAGAATCCCTACAGCCACGGCAACATAGTGAAGAACTGCTGCGAGGTGCTCTGCGGGCCCCTACCCCCCAGGTGAGCTCTTGAGGGGCTGCCTTGACCTTTGTCTTCCACCAGCACTTCTGATGGGAAGAGAGGTGGGATTTGGGGAGACTAGGGTCTCTGATGGCATGGCTGTGTTCTTGCAGTGTCCTGGACAGACGGGGCATCCTGCAGCAGGAGGAGAGCACAGCTCAGGAGGGGTTGTGCCTGCGGGGACCCGGCACGCAGGAGCCCCTGGCCACGCAGGGCCTTGGGCAGGCCCAGGAGGGTGGCATGAAGCAGCAGGACGGCAGCATTCCTCCCCCCAGTGCTGTGAGTGATTCCGCCTGGGAGCTGGGCGGGCTCTGGGACAGTGGAAGAAAGCTGAGAGTGTGACTTAGGAAGGACAAAACTACATGGGGGGCCATGTGAGAGGCTGCTGCTGAAAAGCTTGTTTGCTCTGACCCTGGAAACCAGCATCTTGGTTTCCTTGGATTTCCTGAAAGGAGGTCACAGCTGGCTGCAGTTTTGGAGATCAGTCCTGCCATGAGAGCACTCAGGAGCTGTAGCCCATGGAGCTCGGCGGGGCTGGAGAAGGCTGAGAGGTTGCAGACATCTTGTTCTGGTGCTGAGTGTGAGCTGCAGGGCTGTCCCTGGGATCTCCATCTGTGGAGAAAGCTGTTGTGGCCCTGAGCAGCCTGCTGTGTGTTTGAAATTAGTCCTGCATTAAGGACAGTTTAACAGGAGACCTCCAGAGTGCCCTTCTCACCTAAATTATTCCATTAACATGGTGGGAAATGGCTCGGGTTGCTCCTGCTTGGGCATGAGCTGCCCTTCTCTGGTGGACACAATCCAAGACACCTTCTGCTGGAGCAGTCTAGTGCTCCAGCTCTTCCTGAAGCTGCTGTTTTGCCTATTGGGAGGCCCCTGGTTTGGTTTCTCCTTTTCCCAAGCCCAGCTGAGACTGCTGCTAGCGGAGCTGGAGGCGGTAGCAGAGCGGCGGGCTCTGTGTGCTCGGGCTTTGCGCTGGGGGTGTCCCTGCAGGTCACTCTGTCCCCTCTCTCCAGGTCCCTGCGCCGTCTGTGAGCGACACCGAGATGCCAGAGGAGAAGCAGCAAACGCCTGGGGAGCTCCCGGTGCCCTCCCTGGACGCTGGGCGAGCGGAGCACTAGCATCTGCTTGGAAGGGAGAACTTTGTTGTTTTGTCTAATCAAAGCTGGAAGTGGTGGAGGAGAGGAGAAGGGCTGGATGGCAGGCACCTGATTCCCCATGGCCATTTTGCTTTAGTCATTACTCGCCGCGGTGCAGGCAGCGCTGGCCTTGCGCGGTGCTACAGGACAGCGAGCGCGGGTAGCACGCCCTGGTCACCGTGGGGCACTGCCAGCAGACCTGGGCCAGCCTGCACCCTACTGCTGAGGAATCCTCAAGGAAGGGGAAAGCAATGGTGGCAGCAATGTCCTCTCTCCCCTCCTCCCTCCTTCCTCTAATCTGTTGCGTTGTTTTGTGGTTGGCGTGGCAAGGCTTGTCAGGAAACGTTTTGGTGCCCCAAGGACCCAAACAAGTGGGAAGGAGTTCTGCTGGCAGCAGTTTTTACGTAGCTGTCTTCCTGTGCTCCTTTCTTGTGTGATGTAACGAGGCAGCAGCTATGAGGGGACCCTCCTTCCCATCCTGCCCTGGTGCTCACACCACTCTGGGCTTCGAGGGAGGGAGAGGGCAGCCAAGGTGGACAGCTGCAGGGAAGGGTCTGCCTGTGCCACTGGCTCCTGGCTGGTGTTGGGGCTGCATTTGTTGCTGGGTGTTTGCACTGAGCCCTCCCCAGCTGTGGCACAGCAGCTCTGCAGAACCTCAGCCCCAATCTGTGTTGTGTCATTGCATCCCCACGTCCCCCCCATGCCTTGCTCTGCTGTTCTCAGCCATCCTGGACTGCCTTTGAGACCCTTGGATCTTCGCAGGATTGTGCCAGCTGCCCAGGGCTGGGCTTGTGTGTCCAACAGAGGAGAGGCTGGGGGGATGGTTGGGGAGCTCTGTGCTGTGGCAGGGCTCCCCCCACTCCACAGTCCCTGTCCTGCGCTGGCAGGACCCTCACACCTCTGGGATCCCCGCAGAGGTCGCTGGTGGAGGAGAGGCCATTCGATGTGTCCCTTGTCACAGAGCTGGGCAGGCTCCCGCAGGTGTGTGATGGCTGCCGGAGGGCGTCCCGCCGGGCCAGTCCCGTGTCCGTGATGCTCCTGGCTGGCACTGAGGGGTGTGGTGTGAACGTGGCACCGGCACTGCCCCTCTCCCGCGGTGCGGGGCCTCTTCTCCCGGCTGAGAGGGCAGAGCTGCCACAGCTGCTCCCAGTTGGAATGTGGCTGGGAAGGAGCCTCGACTGCCCTGCCTGGCCCTCAGCCAGCCCAGCTGCATCCCGTTCCATCCTCCGGGGACAGGGCTCCTGTGCCCCACCCCGTGGGAGTTGCCCCAACACGCTACTGACCCAATCTCCAATTCGGTGCGAAAGTGTGTATTTTGGCTTTGCTGCTCCCTGTTCCACAAAGTGTGTGGAGTGCTGCCTGCCAGGACCTGCCTGCACGGGTCAGGGTCTCCAGAAGGAAGGAAGGGGGTTGGGTGAGGATTGGGTGTTCTTTATTTTTTTCTTATTTTTTTTTAATTTTAAAACAATGAAGGAAAATTAATTGGTTTGAAAATGGCTGAGCTGTAGCCCCTGCGTTTCTGTGCTGCCCCAAGCCAGCTGCCTCTTCCCCCTCCCCTATGCGTTTCCAGGATTCTCCATCTCACACTTCCAGGGTGTCTTAGCTGTGTTATTTGCATCTTGCTGTCCCCTGTGGCAGGTGGGGGGGTCGGGGGTGTCTGTGTGTCCATGCTGAGAAGTGACAGTGTCCTGGGCAGGCTTCAGTTGCCTGCAGACACGGCTTCTGTCCCCAGCTCCCTTCCTGAGCCTGCTGGCAAACCTGGGAAGAGCAGCCAATGCCTGTGGTGTCTTGGCGGGGAGCACAGTGCCCCAGTGCTCAGAGTCCCTGCCTCGGGGCAGTGGTGCCATGCAAAATGTCCTGGGGCACCTTGTGCCCACCCAGCATCTGGCTCTGCGGCAGGGGCTGAGCTGGACCCCGAGGTGCCACCACTGGGGCTCTCCTGTTGCCCACCAGCAGCCGTCCCCTCCAATCCAGCCCCCCTATTAGGGCCAGAGTGGAAAGTGGCGGTGCTGGCGGGCTCAGGGAGATTCTGCCATGGAGGGACCCCCCATCTCGGCCTCCTCCCGGCTGCCATCCAGGGTCTCTGATCCCTCGAAGCAGCCAGAGTCCCGGGGAATGTCCCCTTTGGGCTCCGAGGGCGATGGCAGGGCCTCAGTGGTGTCACCATCCTCTGGCTCACTGGCTGCTGGGAGAGGGGCCATGGCGTTAGTGGTGCTGCTGGGGTACCCAGTGGGGTCCTGCCCCCTCCCCAGACTCTTACTGTCATAGTCCAGGAGGAGCTCGGCAGCCGTCAGCAACTTGGCGCGGTGCTGGGGGTCTGTGATGTGCAGTTCGTTCAGGTGGGTCTCCCGAAGCTCTTTGAAGTCCTCCAGGGTCTGGTACCCATTCAGCAGGAGGGTGGGGGTGTGTTCCTGGGTGGGGGGCGTGGGTACGGGTGAGCAGGGCTTGGGTGGCTCCCCCTGACCCCCAGTGCTGGCCTGTAGCTCCCCCCCCCACTTACCCCGCATTACCCAGAAATGCCCCACGTGTCCCCTCTGTGGCCCTGGGTGCTTGGTTGAAGGACCCACGAGGTGGGGGATAGTGAAGGGGAGAGGGGATGGTCACCCTGCTGGTCCCGTGCTGGGTGCTGCTGTTCCCCCCAGCCCCCGTCCCTCACCTGCAGGTTGATGCGCTCCAGCAGCTCATGGAGGGTCTTGGGCTTGAGGCGCTTGTTCCGGCTGGAGCTGCGGCTCCTGCGGGCAGGGACCGTCTCCTCAGGGATCACATCCACGTAGATGAACTTGAAGGAGCCCACCCTATTGTTGAGCAGCCCGGTCCAGGTGCCCACAGGTGGCTTCTCTATGATGCTGATGATGTCCCCTTTCTAGGCCAAGGGACATGGCACGGTGGTGGGCGCAGGTGCAGGGGGGGACAGCCAGGGAACACCCCCAGCTCAGGGGGTGCCCAGCCACCCTCCCTGCCTCCCCCCTGCCCCAGGGCCGCAGTGGCCGTGCCTCACCCGCAGCTTCAGGGAGTCCTTGTCATAGGGGCTGGGGGTGAAGTTGGTGTGGACGCGGGCCCGGCCGCAGAAGGGGCCAGTGTAGGCTGGGACGGTCTCCTCCAGCTGCTGGCTGTCCCGGGGATCACCAGGGCTGGGAATGTCGCTGCCTGCAGAGAGGAGGGGGTCAGGATGTGCCCGGCTGAGGATGTGGGGCCATCCAGTCGGGGCTGGCCTCACCGCTGGACATCTGACGTCCGAGGGCTGGGTGCCCGTCCTCCTCCTCCTCCAGCTCCAGGTACGACAAGGGCACCTTGTCATGGCTCTGCTCTTCCACGCTGCTGGCTGGGGACAGGGGGCATGGGGGCCCTTCCGCCTCCACCTCTCCCTGCTGGAGGTACCGGGGTCAGGCTGAGGGAGGGGGAGCTGTCCCCCACTCACCTGTCCGTGTCCCCACACCCCCTGCTCACCTTCCCCTCGGCCAGCGCTCTCACAGCCATCCTGCCCATCTTGCGGTTCATGGTGCGGGAGATGACCGCCCGCCACTTCCTGCCCAGCTTCGTCCCGCTGCTCCGTGTGGCCTCCTCAGGACTGGCATTGCTGGGATCATCCTCAGGGATCTGCCAGAGGGATGAAGAGTGAAGGCAGAGCCCCCCACCCTGGGCAAGCCTCAGCAGGGTCACACAGTGCTGTGAGATTCCAAATCCCACCAGTGCTGGCACCCTGGGGCTGCTCCATGACACGTGGGCCACGGGTAAGACCAGGAGTTTTGGAGAAACCAGCCCTGAAAGGGGCTGTTCCCAGGGAAGCAGGATGTGTCAAGGGCTGTTGCTGCCCCGGAGGGTGCTGGGAACTCACATTCTCCTCCAGGCTGAACTCCTCGCTTGACACGGGGGAGCTGACCTTGGACTTGCTGAAGTCCTTGAAGCTGCTGGAACGCTGTAGGGAAAGCTGGGAGCAGGGGCAGAGGTGTGAGGGGGGGGAGATGGAAAGGTGGGAAATGAGCTTCTTCCTGCATTCCCTGCCACAGCTCCTCTCTGCCCTTTGGGCTGCTCTGCCCATCCCAGGGTGATGCCAGTGCTGGGAAGAGTTTTCTGCTCTCTTCCAGGAGCTGCCATGTGTCATCAACCCCCTGGAACTGGGATGTGCAGCTCTTGGTGCCTATGCAGCTGCTTGGCACAGCATTTCCAGGGCAGGGATGCTCTGGTGTGGAGCCTGACACTGCCATGCTGGGAGCAGCCCAGGGCTGTGCCATGATGCCACCCTGGCACATGGGCCAAGCCGTGAGGGCACACAGGGCTCTGCATCTCCTCTCAGCACAGGTGGGCAGGCAGTGAAGCGCAGGTAGCACCAGAGCAACCATGTCCCTGCTGCTACCCACAGGGTCAGCTCCAGGACTGAAATCCTGGAGGATTCATCACAAATCCATGTTTTCCACCTGTGTCACCCCATAGCCCAGAGAGCACACCCCCAGCATCACCAGCTGGCTTGGTGTCACCTCCATCCTAAGACATCAAAGCTGGTATTGAATCGCAGTCCTGGTACACCTCTCCATCCCTTGCCCCTTTTAGTCTTTCCTGTGCCCCCTGCCTGCCTTCCTCTCCATGGCCTCAGGTGCCTGTCTCACATGGAAGGGTTTCTCCATGCCAGGAACACCCTTGGTGCCAGCACAGCCACCTGGTCCCAGGTGTCCCTCATCCCTGGATGGCAGCACCAGTGTGCTCACACACTGGGGCACAGTGAGCTCGGCTGCCATTGACAGCACTCTTGAGGCCCTCGGAGCACACACCACCGTGCTTGCTCTGCCACCAGCACAACCAGGGATTTCTGTTCTCAAGCAGCTCTGCCAGCTCCTGTTATGGTGGAGGCCTTTCCCAGTCCTGCACAGCCTGGCCCTCTGCTGTTCCCTCTTTATTCTCCTTCTCATTGGCTCCACCGAGCACCCCTGAGCACTCGGTTTGGCCATTGCAGAGGGCTGGCTCACGGTGCCACACCCAGCTGCACGTGGACTGTGGCTTCATGCCAGCTCCAGGTGCATCTGTGCAGAGGGGATGCTGGCTTATGCCCTGCTCCCACCCCGGTGCCCGGAATCCACGAGATCCAGGTCCACTGAACCTCCCACGGCTTCACTGCTGAGATAAAACAGCTCTGAGATAGAACTGCCCTGGGGCTGGAGGAGCCATGGAGAGCCTGGCAGTGGGATGTGAGTCAGGGGGGCCGGGCTCTCCCGGCGCAGAGCAGGAGGGGGAAGTGAGAGTGGCTGTCGCTGGGCAAGGGCAGGGGATGCCCATGGGACTGGCCGGGCTGGATGGGCCACCCCAGTGCAGGGAGGGGGACTTCACCCAGGTTTCCTGTGGGAGCTTGGCAGAACGGTGGAGCTGCCATGGCAGGATTTGTGCCTGTCATGAGCAGGACCCTGCCACCAGGCACTGCCTCTGCTCCCCGTGGTGACTTGCTGATGTTGATGCCAGCCCAGCAAAGCTTGGCAAGAGCTGAAGTGCCAGCTGGTGCGAGACCTGGCGGGGGATGAGGAGCCAGTTTTGGCCCCCACTGGTGACTTCAGCCTCCAGACTTCAGCCACATGGTGGCACATGGCCATGCCACGCAGGGGGCTCTCGAGAGGCCTGACACTGGCAGCTGGTGCTCCTGCGGCTCCAGCTCGCAGCGGTGCTGCCGGAGGAAGCGGCTGACGCACTGACAGCCCCGACCGCAGCACCTTGCTGCGCAAGAGAACTGCACAGCCGCCACCGCAGCCATGTCCCCCCAGGAAGTGACAGGCGGCCGCCCACGCCTGGGGAGGCCATGGGGGGGCGGGGGGCACAGCCTCCCCCAGCAGAGCTCCGCGGGTCCCACCGGCACCTGAGCAGGCACCCATGTCGATCCCGGGGGCTGTGCATCCCAGCAAACGTTCCAACAGGATGGAAGGCAGAGTGGGAGGTGGACAAGGCCAGGACCACGCACTGGCGAGGCCACAGTGCCTGGTGGCAGCAGGGACAAACTGATGGCAGGGCAACTGCCGTGCTGTCCCAACCCCCGGCACCAGCCCTCCCGCTCAGCATCCCACGGCAGCCCAGGCTCGGACAGCTCTGGATGTGCCGGGACATCTGCGACGCTGAGGGCACCTGGATGCAGCCATCACTCACCTTCCTGTGTCCCGGCTCCTTGTCGCCGGCGTTGGAAGGCTTGCGGCGCAGCATGGCGCTGGGGCCGGTGGCGAGGGCTCAGCGTCCGGCGGCGGCGAGCGCGGCCCGTCCCGTCCCGTCCCGTCCCGTCCCGTCCCGTCCCGTCCCGTCCCGTCCCGTCCCGTCCCGTCCCGTCCCGCGGCACCGGCACCGAGCCGGGAGCGCACAGGAAGCTGGCGGTCACATGAGAGGCCTCGCAGCCGTGCTCGGGGTGGCTGGCGAAGCGCGGGCTGGGGCAGGAGGAAGGAAACCCTCCAGCGAGCTGCGCCCTGCCCGGGGCCTCTGGGTGGGGACGGTGTGTGCGCCCTGACACTTCTCGGCCGTGCCGCCCCTCGGTGGTGCTGCCCGTGCCCTGCCTCCCCTTGGCAGTGCTGCCGCCCCTCGGTGGTGCTGCCCCTTGGCCATCTGCAGATGGGCATCGTGTGTTCCCCCGTGGAGAAGGTGACAGTCCCCAACCCCTCTGTCGTGCCCACCCCCGTGCCTGCTCGTCCTGCTGGGACATGATAGCCAAGCCCTCTGCGTGACACTTGGTCTGGGATGTCCCGTGTATCCGCAGGTCCTCCCGGCTCGGAATCACAGCCAGGTGGGACGTGCTCATGGCCACCCCGCTGCTAGCACCTGCGGGGACATCCGTGGCTGGGCTGGCTGCCCTGCATCTTCTCACTCCAAATCCTCCATCTTTTGCCCCACAATTATAATCTGCCCAAATCCATCTCCTCACTGTCGGCGTTGGCTTGGTCGCCTCGGGACTGGACAAGGTGGCACAAGCAGGGTCACAGGGGTGGGGTTGGGGGCCGGGCTCCAGCCCTAACTCGCCGGCGAGGCAACGCGCAGCGCATCGGGCGCAGCAGGGCGCAGCAGGGCCCGCCTTGCTCATGTTTAATCACAGACGAGCAAATAGAATACACCAAAAAAAAAAAAAAAAAAGGAAGTGAGGGCGGGGGAAGACCCGGCCGTGGTGGGAGGGGGTGGTAGAGCCACGGGTGCGGGATCAGGCCCCCAGCCGGCTGAGCAGCACCGAGAGCAGTGAGGCGAGGGCCAGCGTGCCCGCGGGGGCGGTGCCGGCGCTGCTCACCGGGAAGGGCTCGGTGCTCTCCTGCAGCCAGGCGTACGCCTCCTCCAGCCGCTGCCGCCGCAGCTCCGGCCCCACGTGTGCCCGGATCTTCTCGTAGTAGGAGTTCAGGTACCGGATCTGCAGCCAGACACCACCTGACCTGGGTGCCACCCCCGCCTTTGGCCTTCCCCGTCCAGCTGCCCCACACGCCGACCACTGGCCCCACCTGCAGAGCTCATTGCCCCTCTTCATCCATGCACCCATCCTTGCTCTGTCCTCATTTACTCACTCCAGCCTCATGGCATGATCCTGTTTTTTTCCTGCTTCCACCCCCCAAGCCCCTGCGCTGACCTCGCATCCCTGCTCTGCTCCCCACCCCGAGCACACCCCCGTACCTGCTCTGGGGACAGGAGGCTGAGGTCGATGAGGTTGCGGTCATAGGGCACCAGGGACACCACCTCGAAGGTCAGAAAAGGCTTCTCCCCACTCTGGTGCTGCCACAGAGAGGTGTCATTGGGTGTCCCCTACCCCCTTGGAGTTGCCCCCACACCTGACTCGATGCAGGCCCCCATGGTGTGCCACCCCTGTCACCCTGTCCCCATCGCCCTACCTCAGTCTGTGCCTCCACCACGAGGGCGATGTCCTCAATGCGGATCCCGAACTCTCCATCCCGGTAATACCCGGGCTCTGAGGGCCGGGAACAAGCCTGGTGAGCCCCCAGCCCCAGCGGCTCCCCTAGCCCACCCCAGTGGGGCTGGATCTGGCCCTTGAGTGGGGCTGAGAGCTGACACCCTGTCCCTGGTTGGGCTCTGTGCCCAGGGTTGTCCCGGAGAGCTGGGATGCCAGTTGGGGTGCTGGGACATACCGATGGAGGTGAACATGCCGGCCTCCAGTGGCACGTTGTTGGACTGGAAACCCACAGGCCCTGCAGGGACATGTGGTGGGTTAGAGCTCTGTGGATGGCACGTGCTGCAGGGACACCCCAGCAAGGACCAAGGTGCCACACCAGAGAGAACCACGGGACCAAACCAAGGACACCCCAGCAAGGACCACAGAGCCACCAAGGCAAGGACTATGGGGCCACCATGGCAAGGACCACCGCAAGGACAAGGATCATCCCAGTAAGGACCTTGGGACCACCTCAGCAAGGATCATGGGGCCACGCTGGCAAAGACCGCAAGATGTTGCAAGTAGGGATTTCCCTGCCCCTTATAGAGGCTCTGCTGGGCAGCCCCCAATGAGCTCCTGTCCTCATCCCTGTCCCCATAGCTCAGCCCACATGCCCAGCACCAGTGCTGGTGGCACCTACACTCATGGACTGAGAGGAAGTTGCCAATGCCGTGGCCGGTCCCATGGCCATAGTTGAGTCCAACATGCCAGAGTGCCCGGCGGGCAAAGGACTCCACCGTTCTCCCTGGGGAATGAAAAGGTGAGATGGGGGCCAAGGAGCCCATCGGGCTCCGCCATGCCTTCCTGCTTCCTGTGCCAGGGGTTCTGTGCAGGGCCAATGCTGGGTTTGGCACCCACCTGCTGTGTTGGATGGGAAGATGAGGCGGGAGAGGTCAATGTTGCCCATCAGCACGCGGGTGTAGGCTTCCTGTACAGCATGGCAGGGGGTGAGTGTGGTGGTACCCAGAAACCCACCCCTGCACATCCAGCCCTGGCCAGGACCTGATGCTGGGCACCATAGGGAGTGCTGGGTGGTGCAGGGGGGTGCTGGGCATCTCAGGGTTGCCCTGGGAAGTGCAGGGGGGTGTTGGCTGACACAGGAGGGGCTGGTACCTTCTGGAGCGGGGTGGGCTCACCCCAGTGCACCGTGCGAGTGATGTCTGTTGTCCCATCCCTGCAAAGGGGGATCGTGAATGGGGCTGATGCAGCCCCAGCACTGGCTTTGGGGGCCCCTGGATGTGGGGCTGTGGTGGGGGGTCTCTGTTCAAAGCTACGCACAGATATTGCCCTCCGGTGTCAAAAAGATACATCTCTCTCGCAGACAGCGTCCGGCTGCTCCCGTTGGAGGGGCTGCGAGGGGAGGTGGGTCAGAGTCCCCTCCCAGCTGCCCATTGCCCACCGCCCCCTGCCCACTGCCCACTGCTGCCCAGCCATGCCTGTAGTGAGCTAGCGCTGCGTTGAGCCCGCTGGCCGAGATGGACTGGAAGCTGGGCCCACGGCTGTGCTCCTGCGCCCTGGAAGGCAGCAGGGAGAAAGGGAGGTGCTGAGGGTCCCCGGCTGCCCTTCCCTGGGCAGGGCAGGCCGGGGGGGCAGCACTGACCAGCGAAATGCATCGATCTGCTGAGCCCCTGAAAACTCGTCCACCTGCCCCTGCGGGACTGTCTTCTCCAGCCACAGCAGGTACTGGATGACGGCCACCGCATCCCGGACCTGGGGGTACCCGGTGACAGCGGGGAGGGGGCATCGGCACCCTGCTTCCTCCGGTCACCCCCACGTTCTGCAGGGGACTGTGGGGAGGGGGACAGCCCTTACGTGGGCAGCTCGCAGCATCTCCTGCTCGTGGGTGTTTTTCACAGCCTTGGCCATCATCACAGGCGAGTAGCTCTCCTCTAGCAGCTTCTCCTGTGAGAGCAGGCAGAAAGTGACACAGCTACCTGTCCCCTCAGGTGCCGGGTGCGGCCACAATGCGGTGACATGGGGCCGGCCCCGAGCATGCAGGACCCACATGCCCCATGGCCAGGTTCGGTGCCCACCTGGGGGATGATGGAGTAGAGGCCATAGGTGGTGTACTCGGTGCCCAGCCACACGGTGACGTTGCCCTGGGCGTAGGAGAGCAGGTGGGCGCTCACCTGCCCGTACTCCTGCAGCTCCACGCACAGCGGCCCCGGGCAGCCCGAGCGCAGGGACTCCCGCGCCGCCACCGAGAGCCGGGACTCCTCCACGAACAGGCTGGGGAGGGAGCGGGCACAGACGTGGCGGTCACCTGCTGCCTTTGGTCCCCCCAAGTCCGGCCACACCAGCAGAAAGGAGGGACCTGGGGGGCTGTGAGGGGATGCTGGGCTGGGAGTGGGAGAAACTGAGGCTGTGAGGAAAGGGAGTGTGCCGTGCCCTGGAGTGGGCTGAGAGCAGGGGGACGGATTGGGAAAGATGTGTGTGTGGCTCAGAAGGACAGTCAGTGGGGCTGGGCATGGCAGGATGGAGTGGCTTTGGGGATAAGGGGCTGAGAGAAGGGTCCCATGGGGGCTGGATCAGGAAAGGAAGGCTGGAAGGAGGGTGGGTGGTGACCCCCCCCCTCCAAGCCCTGTGCCCACAGGGATGTGCTGCCCACCTTATGGTCGTGTTGGTCAGGAGGGTGTAGGAGTAGAAGACAGGGTTGTAGGGGATGTCATCTCCGCGGAGGTTGAAGAGCCCTGCCAGGAACGAGACCTCTGCACTCGTGACTGACACCGCCCTCCCACCGCCGGGGTTCAATCCCGTGGCCCCTGCCGTGATCCCAGCACGGCACCGTGGCTGCTTACAGGCTGTCTCCTCCAGCCCCGACAGCAGCACGGCTGTGGGGCGCTGCACGTGCTGCTCCATCTGCTGCCGGATCCCAGCCACCTTCTCCTGCCAGCTGCTCCCTGCCAGTCGGGAAAGTGGTCGGCTCAGCGCAGGGACCACCGCGGCCCCAGGCTGGGGGTGCTGTGGGTGGGCTGCGGGAGGCTGAGGTCAGACCTGTGAACTCTGCTGGGAGGCTGTAGATCTCACTGGAGGAGGGAAGGGGTCTCTGGTCACCCCATGCCTGATCCACAAGGTTGGTCTCGAGGGGGAGCAGGGTCCGGCCGGAGCCGTGCAGAGCCTGGCTGTAGCTCTTCCAGGTGTCTGGGGGGTGAGCAGCCCGCAGGTTTGGGCTCCTGGTAAATTCACACCCAGGGGCTGCCCTCCCGTGGGCAGGGTGACCCACGTGTCAGCCAGCCCTACCGATGGAGAAGAGGAAGGGGTCCAAACTGACGTTCCCCTCCTCAGGAACCTTTTTCAAGATCCACATCCCAATGGACTCGATCGAGGCTGCAGGAGAGAGCTGGGTAGCACCGCGAATTTGCGCTGAGCCCAGAGGAGGCTGTGGCAGGGGCTGGAGGGTCCCTGGGAGCGGGGAGACTCAGAAGCCCCCCATCCTGCCTCCACTGACTTGTCCTCTGCAGCTCCCAGTTGCAGTCCAGCTCCCGTTCCGCCTGGGTCCAGTAGCGGCTGTCAGTCCACAGGGCAGCCTTGTCCTGCGTCACCACAGCGGTGCCTGGGACAGGGGTGGGGGCTCAGGGCTCACTTCTTTCTCTCTCCCTGCGGCCGGCAGGGACCCCCAGCGGCTCTCAGGGAGTGAGACCATGCCGTGCGCACGGATCCCCAGCAATGAGGACCAGCAGGCAGGTGCCAGCCCCCGAGCAGCGGCCCCAGGATTTGGGGGGTGCCCTCACCTGCAGAGCCGGTGAAACCAGTGAGCCAGCCCAGCCGGGCGTCCCGTTCGGAGATGTACTCGCTCTGGAGCCGGGATGGAGCCATAAGAGGTGGCTGTGGGCAAGGAGCGGGTCCCCGGGGTGCGGGGGACTCCCACCTTACCATGTGGGCATCCGTGGAGGGCACGATGTAGGCGTGGACGCCGTGGGTCTGCATGATGCCCCGCAGCACAGCCAGACGCGCCGTCGTGTTGGTGGCCGTCGGTGGCAGGTACTGGTGGCACAGGGAGACGTGCTGGGACTGGGGGGGACCCTATGCCGGGGGTCTCGGGAACAGGGAGGGGGAGCAAGACGGGGCTCACCGGCGGGTCCGCGGAGCAATCCCGGATGTCATTCCTGGTGGAAGGAGCCTGTGGCGCCCACCCTGAAGCACAGCCTGTGGGCACGGCGGCACCCGGGAGCCTCAGACTGCAGCCTGGGGGCTTGCTGGACCTCTGCTCCAGCCCGGAACAGCACCAGGCAGCTGTGACCCTCGTCCCCAGCCCCAAACACCAGCCAGCCAAGCTTGGGACTTTTTGCAAAACTCAGTGGTTTTAGCCCCAGGAATAGTGGATGAAAAACAACATCATCCCCTTGTTCAAGAGAAGATAAATCTGCCTGCGGTACAGTGGGATCATCACGGGGAGCAGCTGGTGCCCAGCAAAGAGCACGGAGGGGCTGGCAGGAGCCCAGCACTGGGGCTGCAGAAGGAACTGGCTGATGGTGGGGCCATGTCCTGCTGGACCTGACCTCTCCCCAGGGCTGCTTGGCACGGGGTCCCACCAGCGCTCCCTGGGCTCTCCATCACCAGCTGGCACCTGGCCTCTCACTTTGGGCCAAAGGCACACAGCTTGGGTTCGTGGACAATGCATGAGGGGGTCTTCCTCAGCATGAGGGGCCTTGGGTAGCAGGGGGTCTGCTTCTTACCTGTCACCTGCCCCGGGCCCGCCCCTGAGGCAGCCGGGCAGGGTGAGCCCCGCGACACAGTGTGGCTCCTACCCCGGTGTGCCCCACCTTTGCTTCACGCAGAGCTGCGGCTGGGGCATCCCAGGTTTTCCACATGTGGCTCCTGGGGGACCCCAGTTGTGCCGCCCACCCCAGCGCCCCGCGCACCTTCTGCCGTGCCGCAGAGCAGGAGCGCCCAGGCTGCGATCCAGAGCGGGGGGCACATGGCTGCCCCGGCCGGCCGCGACGGGCACCAAGTGCGCGACAGGTCCCTCCTCCCGTGCCTTTGCCCCAGGGGCAGAGGGATGCGGAATGGGAGGGACGAGGCCTCAGCAGATACAGGGCGTGGGGGCCAGGGTTGTTGTCCCTTTGAAAAGTGAATTCCACTGCTAAATAAAAGCAAACAGCAAAATCAGCACAAAGTCCAAAGATCCTGCAGGAGCAGAAGTGGGAGCGTGCCAGCTAAGCCTGGCACCACCTAATGGCCAGGGAGAGGTCAGGGAAAGGCTTTGCTCCCTGAGGAACCCCTGTGTTTTGGATCTATGGAGAGCTGACATGGGATCTCTGGGGTGAGGGCCAGATGTCCCCCAAGCCAATCAGCCCCCGAAGCCATCCCTTCTCCTCCACAGGACATGGAGCCATGCAGGTGGGCACCAGCCCCTGTTCAGTGCCCATGACCAGCAGCCTCTGCTGAGGCTGCACAGGGACCTGTGTTCCACGGGAGGATCCTGCTGGGATGTGCCCTTTGTCCCTCCAGGCCCATCAGCTCCGCACCTCCTTGCATCTGCCTTGCTAAAACCTCATTATCTCTATCATAAGGAGCCTTGGCCCCGAGGCCTGTCACTTTGATTGCACAGGTAATTCCTCCAGCAGCTTTAATGACTCTGGCTGTCTGCTGGGAGAGGGGCAGACCTGCTGCCACAGGCATTGGAGGTGTCCGTCCCTGGGACGGACACAGATCTCCAGGGATGAATGCACGTCCCCACCCAGGACAGGTCAGGGGTCACACATTGGTTGGGTCTGGAAAGGACATCAGAGATCCTCTCGTTTTGACCCTCTGCCATAGGCAGAGACAGCTTCCACTATTCCAGGTGTCTCCAAGCTCCTTCCAGCCTGGCCTTGGACACTTCCAGGGATGGGGCAGCCACAGCTGTTCTGGACAACTGCTGCTGGGGCCTCCCCACCTTCATAGGGAAGATTTTCCTCCATCTATGTAATCCACACCAACTCTCTTTAATTTAAAACCACCCTGCCTCAATCTGTTGTAATGGGCCCTGCCAAAACATTTGTCCCCACAGATTCACATCCCCACCCTCCCAGAGCACTTCCTACAGGATCACTGCTTATCACAGCCCTTGAAGGTCTTTGGGATGAGATCCCCTGTTCCTGGGCCTGGGGTCCCTGCAGCCCAGCTCTCACAGGCTCAGCTCAAGGCCAGACAAAGCTGGATTTGTGTGGGGACTATGAACTCTCCTAGCTGCTGCCTCTTCCCAGTGGCACTTCATGGCCTGTTGGGCACACGGGTGTTTACCCCTCTACCCTTGCAATGACAGTCTGGCTGTGTCAGCACACCGACTGTCCAGCTGTGTCACTGAAATCTCTGGCTGTGTCACTGTTCTGACTGTCCAGCTGTGTCCTCTCAGGGACAGTTCTGCTGTGTCCCCACACTGTCTGGTGTGTCCACGCCTGCCTGTCCAGCAGTGTCACCATTCCACCCGCCGTGACACCGCTCCGACTGTCCGGCTGTGGCACTGGGACCCTGCTCACCACGAGGTGGCACCAGGGCTGCGCCGTGGAGCCGCAGACCCCTGTCCCGTGTCCCACTGTCCTGTGTCCTGTCCCTAACCAACCTGCAGCTCCGGCAGCAGCAGAGCCGGGGGGGCCCGGGCCATCCGCTCCGTCCGGCTGAGCCCTGGAACGCTCATGTCATGAACGCTCTCGGGCTGCCTGTGCCGGGCATCACCCGCTGGTCCCCCCCAGAGACAGGTGGGAGAGGGACACCAAAGCTGCTGCGATTGTTACGCAGTTTCCCAAGGACGCGGTTCGGTGCCGCGGGTACAGTCAGACAGCACTTTGCTGCCATCCTGTTCATTAGTGAGACGCGTTAATGGGGCTTCGTCCTCCCTGTCTGGTTCCTGCGGGGCCGGGGGCGGGGGCTGCACTCCTCAGCCCAGGGCTGCACCCCACTCCCGGGGGTCCCCACGGCAAGGGAGATCCTCACCCCCTTTACTCCTGCCCTTTGAGCTCCACCCTGCAGTGCCCTCCCACGCGGTGCCATCACCCGCAATGGCAGCCCCCTCCTCGCCCGGCTCGGGGGTGGCACGGGCCGTCCCCGGGGACCCCGGGCCGCGTGTCGCTCCGAGCCAGCGTCAACAGGACGAAGCTCCTTGGCCGCCGTGCGTCCGGTGGGGCCCGTCCCTCCCGCGGGAGGTTTCCTCGAAGACGAGCCGGAGGAAGGCTTTGGGGGGACATCCTCCCTTTGTGGGCTATTGTTGGCCTTCCGTCACCTGCAGGGGCCGCGGGGTGACTCAGGCCGGGGAGACGCGCCCGGCAAACAGGACGCGGGGAGGGCGAGCGGCCGCAGGAATGCGGAAGCCGCTGGTGGCACCGGGATGCTGCCAGGATCCCTGAGGGTGCCCTGGCAGGCTGGGTGTGCCCAAGGGCGGGCTGGGGCGTCCTCCCTGCACCGCAGAGCTGGGCAGCTGGGTTGCGGGGATGAGGCTACAGCTCCTGCTCCCCCTGAAGAAGCACTTTGGGGTGCACAGCACTGGCAGGGGGTGCTGACCCCACATTGGACCAGAAGCGGGGCCTGCAGGAGAGCCTGGCTGGGGGGAGAGGCCGCAGTCAACAGGGCTGGAACAGGTTCAGGGGATGTGCCCCTCCCGTGGTACCACAGACATGTGTGGGGCTGTGACATGGTACCCACACAACGGGTACAGCCTCTCCTTACATCCCCCCACTCCTCCTGTAGCCCCTCCTAGAGTCCCCCCTCACAACCCAATGCAGTCAGCAGCCCCTCCTAGAGCTGCCCCATACACCCACCCCCCATACAACTCCTCCTTCGGTCCCCCCATATGCCCCTCTTTGCCCCCACACCCTGTCTGGGCCACCCCCTGCCCCCTCACCCTGCTGGCAAGGGCTCTCTCGGGGTGCAGTTTTAGTTGTGATCCACCTTTTTGAGGGTCGATGACACCCACCTTTGTGGAGGCTCACCCTGGCCAGGTGCCCCCAAAGCTACTGCATCACTGCCTCCTCAACTGAGCAGGCAGGGAAAATACAAAGAAAAGATTGAGATAAGGACCAGTACATCACCAGATGTAGGCATGGGTAAAACAGACTCAGTTTGGGGAAATTATTGGAATTTCACAAAATCATGGAATAATGGAATGGTTTGGGTTAGAAGCGACCTTAAAGCCCATCTTGCTCCAAGCTCCTGTCATGGGCAGGGACACGTTCCACTATCCCAGGTAGCTCAAAGCCCTGTCCAGCCTGGCCTTGGACACTTCCAGGGATCCAGGGGCAGCCACAGCTGCTCTGAGCAACCTGTGGCAGGGCCTCACCCCCTCACAGCCATGAATTTCTTCCTAATATCTGATTTAAATCTCCCCTTTTATATATTTATCACCAATCAAATCAGAGCAGGGTAATGAGAAAAACTCCCAAACCTTAACCCCTTTTCCCACCTCTCCCTTCCTCTTGGGTCCAAAGTCATTCCTGATTTCTCTCCCTTCTCCCCTCTGCAATGTGGGCTGTGGGCAATTCACCACACACTGACCCCTCTGCAGACACTGCCTGGCTGGGGGGGCTGGAGGGGACAGTGGGCGGGCAGGACAGGCCCCTGCCCCCTTGGGTGCCAGGGGAAGGGGGGCACTGGGAGGGGTTGCGTGTGCCAGGTGAAGTGGAGGGTCCCAGAATCTGAGGATCAGGCTGGGACGGGGGTCCCAGGACGAGGGCGGAAGGGGACATGCTGGATCCAGGCTGTGCAGGGGTCCCACGCCAAGGTGGATGCAGTGTTAGGATCTGGGTGGGGGGTGTCCCAGCACCGTGCAGGGTAGGGAGTCCTGGACCAGGCTGGGCAGAGGCCGGGCTAGGCTGGGAGCGGGTCCCAGATTCGGGCTGGATGGGAGCCCCTGGACAAGCTGGGGTGGTCTCAGAGCGCTGGGGACACGATGAGGGGACTGCGGGCGGGGAATCCCCCGGAGGATGTGCCGGGAGGAGATCCGGCACCAAACCGGGATCGGGGGGAACCCGCTGAGGTGTCCCAGCGGCGGGGCGGGGCAGGGCGGGGGGCGGACACCTCCCCCCCATCCCGGGGGCCAGATGACGGGAGGCGGCGGGGCCGGGCCGGGCTCTCACCGCCTACAAATGCGGCTCCCCCGGCGGCCGCCCCCGCCGCCCCCCGCCGGCTCCTGGCCCCGCTGCTGCTGCTGCTGCTGCTGCTCGGGCTCGTCCTGGCCGCCCCCGGTGAGAGCGGAACACCCGCGGGGAGCCCACGCCAGCAGCGGGGGATGAAGGGAGGGAGTGAGGAAAGAGGGGACCGCGGGGACCGCGCCGGGGTGGCCGCGGGTTGGGGGGCGCAGGGATCCGCTGCGGCTGGGCTGGGGAAAGACAAAGCGCTTTCTTTGGAGCCAAAAACCCACGGTCCCCGTGGGAGCGGGAGCGTCCCGAGCCGCGGTGACAGCCCCGGACATCGCCGGGTCCCGCAACCGGACCCACGCGGGGCACGGCCCCGGCCCCGGCTGCCAACAGACCCCGCGGGGGCGCCGGGACAGGAGCTGGGACCAAAGCATCCCCGCCCTGCACCCAGGGGAGCAGAGCATCCCGGCTCCAGGGCCCCGGGGGAACGGAACCACTGCTCGGAGTACCGGCACCAGGCACGACGGGGATGCGAGCAGCGGCTCGGGGTGAAGGGCTGAGTGTCTCGGTGGCTCAGAGAAAGGGGTGGCTGTGCGGAGGGCTGGGGCCGAAAGCAGCGGCCGAGCAGCCGCATGTCCCGCGCTCCGGCTGGTGGCCGTGGCCGCACGAGGTGGCCATGGATGGCACAGGTGGCCGGGCCGTGCCGGCACAGGAAGCGCTTGGCAGCGACGGCTCTTGTTGGGGACAATCCAGGAAACCGGCCGGCCCAGGGCCAGGCAGCCCTACGGTACTGCTGTCCCTGTCCTGCGTGGGGGGACACGTGGCTAACGCTGTTCCTGATTTCCTCAGGGCCGCTGGGGAAGGCGCCGGACGGGAAGGATGCCCAGGGTGGTCTCACCCGAAGGCTGGTGCGGCCGCGGGGGGCACGGCGTGGGACCGGCCAGCGGCCCGGGGGCTGGCGGAGGTACCGGCGGCCCCGGCCCCGGCTCTCCCACAAGGGGCCCATGCCATTCTGAGCCAGGTGAGATGCAGTGGGGCACGGGAGATGCAGGGAAACGTGTGACAGTGCCGTGAGGAAACTCGTATGTACTTGGGCTTGCTCTCGTTGCAGGGGCACCACCAGCCTTCCGCGGACACGGCTTCCATTGCTCGCGCCCCGTTCTCGCCCGATCCGCTCATCGTCCGGCCCTGAGCCTGGGGTCCCCCCTGTAAGGCCTCGGCCGGCCCCACCTTCTCCCGGCAGTTGTCCGTGATGCCGTGTCTGGCACTGTGGCCTCTCCTCACTGCCTGTAGGGCCGGCTGGATGGGGGGTGCCCACAGAGGGGCCAGGGTTGCCACGATGCCCTGGTGGGCATGGGACGACTGGCTCGGGCATCGGCCCGCTGGGACCACGGGCTTTGTGCAAAGCACTTTGTCAGGCAGAGCAGCTTCTCCTCAGGGGTCTCTGAGCTCTCTCGGGGTCCTGCCCCAGCCCTGTCTGTCACCCTCACGCCAGGGGGAGCACACAGCTTGTCCTGGGTCTATTTATTCCCATGGTGCTCATCCCACACCCTGAGTTGCCTGCTCTCCCTTTCCCACTGGGAGACCCACCTCGTGGTGGAGTGGGGTGCCCACCCAGGACACACTGTGGGGCCCTGGGCCCCTCTGCTTCATGCCATGGGACAGCAGGAATGGGGGGCACTGGGGTCTCTGTCAAGCTCTGCCATGCACCAAAGGAGCGGCCCTGGCTCTGAGCTGGGCCCTGCTGATTGTCTTCTGTGTCTGTAAAGATTTATTCCATGTAAATACATCTTTATAATAAAGAGTTATGATTATTAAGTCAGGAAATGCTGATTTCTGAAGGGCAGGTTGGGGCTGCTCTCCTGCTGGTGCGGAGGGATCTGAGGTCCCTCTGCTTCCTCCTGGGGCTGTCTATAGACACTGGGGGTCATGGCTGGGGCCATGGCAGCCCCTTTCCCAGCCCATTGCTGGCAGAGAAGGTGCTCAGCAAGGAGTGAAGCCGTGTGCTGAGCCTGTGGAATTGGCAAGGAGGGTGGGAAAACACAGGTCAGAGGGGCTGGGAGATGGAGGAGGGGATGCTGGAAGGGCACAGGGATGCTGGTCCTCCACAGGGAGGACCTGCATCCCTGTCCCTTGTGTTCAGTCACTGATATCCCTGGCATCCCTGTTTCTGGTGTCCCTGTCCCTGGTATCCCTGGCATCCCTCCGCTACGTGTCCCCACCCCATGGGGCTGAGTGTGAGCAGGACCCATATGGGTGACAGGAGGGTCAAGGCTTAGAGGACTGAGGATCCTTGTAGGATCCTGCAGGTGGGGAGGAGGGCTGAGCCCTGCAAAGGGCTGGGACTCCACGGAACAGGACACCCCCAGCCACGGCTGGGACGCTGGGAGAGGGGGTGCCCATGCGGGGCCTCCAAACCCCTCACTGTTTGCAGGGGGGCTGCCCACTTTCCGGGCGCGGGGCTGCGGGCAGGGGTCGGCAGTGCCGGCGGGGAGGGGGTTAAGGAGCTGTGGAGGAGCGGAAGGGCTGCAGCTGCGGGCTGGGGAAGCGCCGGGACCCAGCTGGCCTC